TGCCTCCATGGCTCTGAGGTTACACAACACTAATGCTCTTACTTTTACAGGTATTCCAAGGAAAAATCAAATTTCATGGTGTGGGTAGTCGGCAAGTGACAACCACCCACACACTTCCTAAAGCACACAACGTTCACCGGAACCACCAGTTATATGGGTTGACATATGGAATAACACATACTGCCAAACAAAAGTTTTTATGAAAGTGAACAGCTCGTATACACACAGCATTCTAGGAAACTCAATCAATCTCCTATAAGGAAATTTAAACAGGATGTCATAACTGTTTATTTACGTCAATTTGTATTTCCCGGGTGTAGACTGGTCAATTATTATGGAAGTAGGACGGAACAGCTTCCCAGTGATCAAAGTGATGCACACACTTGGGACGTCCGTTTCGTCAGTATAAGGTTCGAGCTCTTCATTGACAAATTCTGGCTAGCTACTTAAGATGCGACGATGACGTTACATAGAATCGAACTCGCGGTTGACCAATTAATTACATAGACACATAGCAGAAGCGACCATTCACTCCAATGGGTTCCCTTTGGAATAATCAAAATGATCACATTTCCTTCATTACTAAGGTGTCTGAAATGAGTATTAAAAGAAACCAGTTCTAATTGCACGATTATTTCTAAAGCAAACCGTGATAAAATTTGTAAACTGTGCCATCCTTCATTCATTCCAAAATGAATTATCAATCAATAGTGTTTGTTTTTTTTGTTGTATAAAACTAACCTTTAGCATTTTCATTCCACTGACGTGTTCGTGCAAGATACCAAGTAGCCATACTAGAAGAAATTAAGAAACAGGAAAAACAACACACGGTAAGGTTGGTTAACACATTAAGCACAATAAAATGGAAGGGTATGACATACAATTAAAGTTGTGTAGGAGCGCACTTGGTCAAGTGGCACAAAGCCCGCTTCTTAGCATGCCGGAGGTACTTGGATAAACACCCAGGTATTCCACCAACTCACTCAGTGGTAGAATACTCATCGATCACCCATGCGGTCCGGGATTCGATCGATGATCCCCAGCTGACGTACTCCTAGAACTGGCTTAACCGGCAGTAAGCCCGGTAAAAAAGCGGGAAGGTTGGGTGTGAGTGAGGCCAGCAACCCCACATCGTGAAAAACAAACAGCACTGATGCTATTGAAAATCCAAAGCTCAAGCCTGGAAAGCCCAAAGTTCCACTAAGGAGCTAAAGTCTAAACTCCAGCTGTATTTAGTCCTCCACACGCCTGATATTGAAAACAGTAATCCATAACAAAATGAAAGAACCAAGGAGCATTGGATAGCCATTATTTTCCTTGTTTGGGACAATGCAACAGTACAAATCCATGTCCTCACCGAGGATGGGACCCACGACCTCCAAGCCTACACAAGGCCAGCTCAATGTTTAAATCAATCGAATCCTTAAAACCTACACTTGAAATTCAATTCCGTGCTCACTGATGACTCATTACAGCATGAAGTTGGCCGACGTTTTAATTGAAGAGGTCATGACCAGAGCGTCCCACCGAGTTGTGTGAGCCTAACTGCTCGCTGAAGATATTGACTGGCGACTGCGCCATATATATCGCGAATGGTTTCAGTTAGATTTATGGACAACTGGGTTTTGTCCCAATGGTTAAGTGGTGTAGGAGCTCGCCTTGTATCCAGAACGTTCCGGGTTCAATTCCCGGCAGCGACATCGGTGTGTAAGCTTAAGGTACACAAACAACAACAGCAACAACAAAACAGCAGTACAACACACCCTAGTTTTCAAAGATGCTCTAACTGCTGTCAAATCGTGATCAATTTCGAAATCAGTCAAGTCGCTGCAAAGAAGCACGTGAAAAATCAGAAAAGTTGATGACACCCGTAGTGTGAAGAATAATGAACAACAATGTCGACTCATGTAGATAATTGGTAGAATCAATAAATATATGCAGCGTGAGTGATAAATTAAAAAACTGGAATGTCTTTCTTTCAGAGAAAAGAACATGACCACTGACTGAAATGGTACTTCGTAGGTCTTTGAACTCTTCGACTATTATAACTGCCCCACGAAATAGTGTAGAATTGTAATGACAAAAGACAAGGGGCAGGCTACAGCTAGTTTATTGGAAAAATCAAGAGGTATTTATAGATTTTTATGAACATTATTATTCGTTATTGTTAGCGAAGAGGCGAGCGTCTTCTGATTGGTTGTTTTCTTGCTGAAGGTTATCCTGTCATCTCTTTGTGGCCGTTTCTTAGACAATCCGGTCATATATCTGCAAATCGTATCTGCCCAGGTTGGTGACTTTCTCAAGGTTAGGCTCTGTCACTGTTTTTCTCATGACCCCGATTCAGCAAGTGAACACCGATGTATATTGTTGTTTAGAATTTTGGCTTGTAGCCAGCTCTCACACCACAGGATCATCACTTGGTAACTGCAGAACAATACAACCATCTCAATCATTCTTCCAACTCATTTATCCAGTAGAAATTCGCCTACATCTGCAACTTTAACACCATCTGCATTCAACGCTTCATCTTCTTCTTTAGGAGCTTTCATGTGGCGGATTCTGGAACCTACACAAAGAGTGGATTTCACTCATTCTTCGGGCTGTAACTGATGCAGAGCAACGACGTCATGAAACACTTCCTGTCAAATAGAATAAGAGCACCTGTATATATATATATATATATATATATATATATATGATTCTTTCCATTCCGTTAAGAGAGGACAAGTTAAAGTGGAATTCCCTACACTTTGACTGATCATATTGCCCGATTTTACACAAATTGTATTTCTTCACAGATAGAATTCGATGCATATTATGGCAGTCCAGATTCTCTATTCTCTGTTTGATTTTTAACTTCAATTTGCATAGTTTTATTGAAGGTAAACTGTTCAAATAATGCCTCAAGTGATAAATGGCTGTGTACTTCTGTGGCTGACTGACTGACTGACTTGAGAAGAGAATGAATAGTCTGAGTATGGAGATGGAATAGGATGGGATTGGGTGTCTAGATGATTGAAAAGATAACTTATTAATTAGTGAGCATTTGGATGAGAGTGCTTCCGGTGCTGTTGCGATAGTAATCAGACTTGCTCAGAACTGAAGGATATGATTAAACTCCCCGTTGAAAATTAATATGAATAGGCATACCACAGAATAATTCTAACCACCCATTATCCAAACGATACTTAAAAGTGAGATCGGGATAAAATCTGCACCTCAATGTGTCGCACCACGTTCATACTGGGGTGGTGTTAATAACGACAGATTATGCAATACGAGGGATGGTATGCCTTCAAAGTCACTGATGCGTTTGCACTTCACGGTCGCTGTTCTTTAGATTCGACGATAATGTCTCTTGAACATTACCGCGAACATTGTTTCCTCCAGGACAGCAGAATAACGCCACCTGACAACTGTGAATAAGCACGAAACCTAGATTTCATAGAGCTGCCTGAAATTTAAGTGCAGACCACTGAACTACAGAACTCTATATGATTACCTAAACACACATATTCAAAACGATCAGTGGTTGGTTGGTTATTGTACGCCGAGGAGAGTGAAGTGGCAGCATGAATCATCTTTATAATTTATTAGGATGAATTACAGACATTGAATAACACTTCTCAGTCTTCTACTCAGTTAGATTACAACTCAACTATCGGGGACAAATTACTCCATGGACTGTCTAGTTGCTCCGGTTAAAGTAGATGGAATGCGAGTCGAAGCCACGACCTACCGACTGACAGTCAACTATTACTAAACCAACGTTGTTGTTGTTGTTGTTACCTTCACTCAGTGAGCTGTAATCAAATGACAAGCTGTGACAACATAAGAGGATGTTTTTTCAAGTTTAATCACGAATTGAAATCATTTGGAGAACCGGTGAAAACCAGGAAGTACTGGATAGCCGCTTCGTCCTACTCCGCGACTAATCAACAGCACACCCACCCACCAGGTTTCCAATCCAGCACCTCCCAGTTACTACTAGACAACCACTGAGACTCGACTCAATGGTAGAAGTTAGAATTCATGGGCTGGCCTTTAAGTCGGTTCCGAGGGGCTGAATGGTCTACGAGTTTAACTTGTAACTACTGGAAGGTCAAGCGTGTTCCAGCCCTGATGGTGGGCGCAAACTGCCGATGAGTCACAAACTGGGCTGATGAAAGCGCTGTTCAATACCAGTACTCCCAGCTGGTCTAGGTTTACGCAATGGTTCTCTAAATGATATCAATCAATCAGTCAATCCGTGGTCAGACGTGAAAAACAAATCAAATGCTCCCCCCTCCTCATCATAGATTTTGTTTTGTTAAATTAAAAAAAAATAACTAAGTAAAAATAACTTACCGGTGTTTATGAATATGTGATAATAAATGTTCATAAGTACCATTAGAATTCTCCTTCTTAGAAAATGACAACTGTTTATGACACCATGGACAAGCAATAAAGTTACGACAATCATAAAAGTGCGAGTCTCTTTCATGATTTTGTAACTTCATCAAATCTGTAAAGTATCGAGCAGTGAATGGAGTGTCACGGTTAGTAGGAGATTCGTGTTGTTGTCCTTGTTGTTGCAGTGGCTGTAACTGTAGCTGTTGAGTTGCGTTGTTGTTGTTGTTGTTGTTTGATGCATGAGAACAATCAGAAATATAACCATTGTCCGCTGTTGAATCTTGATTCTGTAACCCTAGATTGATTTCGTTATTTCGACTTTGTGTGACTGAACAAAAAACCAACAAACAAACAAAATAGTACAACAGTACAGTAGTGATACAACACCATTAACAGTTAGGGAGATTTAGATTTTTACTAAATTAACGTTAACAATGATAAAATATATAAAAACAACAACAACAACAACTTTGCATGCATTGCATTTCAAATAAAAGCTTTCCTTTCTCATGTAAGGAAAAAAACCCAATTAATCAGAGAATTCCTGAGTACGCAAGAGACAGACTAGACAAGTAAGTGTGTGTGGTCTTTCATCATCATCACTTTGAAACTGTTTTTTTTCAGCATCTATGATTCTACGAAGCATTATGAAGATTCGATAAGAGTCGGGAAGATGACAATGCACCTGTACCGTTGACAACATTTTCAACTGACACAACAACGATCGACCGACCGACAGCTAATAGTTAGTTTTTCAATCGTTTGTTTCCAGGGGATTTCATTGGTCACAGGATTTCTGACTACCTCCTGGCACTGTGAGTCAAATAAAAATATAACCAACCATGGGATAAAGCATGTCGAAGTCATCTGCATATCTTAGAAATGCCTAACAAGGACGTTTCACCACGAAATCCATGAAGCCTAAACCACTAAAACCGTCTACACTTTCTACTCCTAAAATACCTCTCCACCTGAATTCATACAATTTAATAGAGAATCATCGACAGAAAAACACTGAGAAATCACCTGTCCCGCTCACTGAAGGAAACCCTCAAGGTTGAAACTTCGTCCAACTTCCCCCTCCCCCGAAACCAATGATTCGCATGAACTTGAAGGATAACCTGCCACTGCTGACTGACCTCATCAATATGGTATCTATCGATTCACCCACTTATTTAGAACTAGGCATGTCTGTCGTACTAAGTGTTTCCAATCCAAACGCATAATCAAACACTTACCCTCATGATTATACAAAGGAGAAAAAAAGGTCGCCCCGTAGCTCTATCCTCGAACACCTGATGGAATCTGAACAGTAAGCTAAAGCAACCCACCCAGCCATCCACGGAACTTCACAGTCATCTAAGAGGATATATGAGGTGATCTTGCCTCATGCCCAACCTTCTCCCTTACCAGTCTTAATATACTGGCTTAGCGAGGTAAATGAGTGCGTCGGTGGACGGGGATTGAATCCAAAAACACCTGACAGGTTGGCGAGCATTATACCACTGTGTCACCGGAGCACACTACAGTCATATATATATATATATATATATGTATATATATATATATATACATGCGACTGTACACTGCTTAAGAGTGATATCGATGTAAAAAGTAACTCTTCATTGAACGTTTCCCCACCCTCCCTTTTTATATGACTCAATGAAGGGGGATTTTTAAGTTGTTGCTTAAACTTTGGAAAGCTTAAAGCTCTCATATGTTCCACCAGTCGGAAAAAGGCAAACGAATGAAAACCAGAAATGAGAGGGTGGACGGCAGAAAATACTCCCTCAGAGATAGGACTTCAGGTGAACATAGAGAAAACAGAGGTGATGAAGATTCCTGGGCAACACCACCAACAGCAACAACAACAACAACAGACAACGATCAGCATAAATGGGAGGAACCGGAAAGAAACAACCTCTTTTACCTACCTGGGAAGCATCGTTTCAACTACAGGCGAAACTGATGAGGATATCAAAGTGAGGAACATCAGGAAAGCAAGGCAAGCTTTCACTACTCTCAAGTCTGTGTGGACGTCAACAACACTCATCATCAAAAATAAGATCCGGATTTTCAACTCCAATGTGAAGTCAGTCAGTGCTACTATACGGATCAGAGACTTGGCCAGTGCATCATAAAGAGCATCTCAAACAAACTACAGACCTTCATTAACAGTTGTCTTCGCTCAATACTCAAGATCAAATGGCGAGAAAAGATCAGCAACAAAGATCTCTGGGAGCGAACCGACCAGGAACCGATTGTGAAACAAATAGGCAGGAAGAAATGGAGATGGATTGGCCATACTCTGAGGGAACCATCAAGTGACATCACTAGACAACCCCTTGAGTGGAAACCGACCGAATGAGAAGCGGCGAGTTGATCGTCCAAGGGTGACTTGGAGGAGGTCATGTGAAGAGATGAAAACGTGTGGGCAGACATGGAGCCAGGTGAAAACTCTACGAACGCAATGGAGACGCACGGCTGAAGCCCTATGTTCCTCTAGGAACTAAAGGATACAATAATAAATAATAATACTTATATATATATATATATATATATATATACCTTCGTTTGATCCATTTGATTCTGCAGGCAGCATTACTGAATCAGATGTAATCTGTCCATGTGGATGATCCATACACAAGGAATAAGAAGTTGAAGTCATAGTAGTAGCAGTAGTTGTTGTTGTTGCTGCTGCTGCTGTTGTGGTTGTTGTCGATGTGTTTCTTATTATCATTGTAGACGAAGGATGAACAATACCCCCAGTCGTTGATATACTTCGCCTTGGTCCAATACCACAGTATGCACAGAAGCATAATTTTCGACTAAATATTACTGATGCATTATTCATTCCATGACTGGAAGAAGCAGCAGCAGACGAAGAAGAAGATGCATTATTCTCACATGATGAAGAGGTTCTGACAGACTGTTGCTGTTGGTTGTCATCTGCATGCTCTGGGTCCAATAAATTAAGTATATCCTGATTACTATTATTATTACTATTATTGTCATTATTATCATTACTATAAGTATAGGAATATCCAAATGTTGACTGAAAGATAGTTTGTGCATGCTGACACACAGATAAATGTTCTCGAAAAACATCAATATTTGGGAAAAGACGTTTACACGAACCAAAACATCGATAATAGTTTTCATGAATACAAGCTAATCGATGTTCAGCCTAGATTATTTAAAGAAGAAGAAAATAAAAATAAAAATTGTGAAACTAATAATGGTAACATAAATAAGAGAGAATATAAGTCATCCACTGTTATACCCTATATAAGGAGGGGACATCTGAGACCAGCCCCTACGTGGTGGGATTCTTAATAAAGCAGGAATTAGGTTGGTGGCATTCAAACCTACAAACTCACTCAGGTAGGAAAAGCTTTATACGTTAAAGGACCCTGTAGGTTGACCCGATTAAACAACATAATATTGTTGTAACGACAGAAGGCAAGAGTCAGACAACAGATTCTTTATTAATGAAATCAACACATAGATTTTCGTGTTAGCTGACAAACACAGTTTTCTGATTGGTTGTTTCCCACTAAAAGTTAATCTTTCATCTCTTTGTTGCTGTCTCTTGAGTGTCAGATCATCTATCTGCTAATTGTATCCGTCTACGCAAAGTCTGCTGCCCATCTTTGATCTTGTTTTCACATGACTAATATTTGAGACATAAACATCGACGTCAATTACTGTCTACCAATTTGACTAGCAGCCATCTCTCACCACATTGTAACAACAGAAGACAAGGGCCAGGCAACAGATCGTATATTATGGAAATCATCACACATTTATAGATTTTCATGTACATATTATAGATTATTGTAAGCAAACAAACACAGTCTTCTGATTGGTTGTTTTCTCACTAAAAGTTAACCTTACATCTCTTGTGACTGTTTCGTGAATGTCAGATCATCTATATGTTTACTGTATCCGCCTACGCAAAGTCTTTGTTCTCATTTTTCTCAAGACCAATATTGGGGACATACACTTTTACGTAAATTACTGTCCATCAATTTTGGCTACAGGCAGCTCTCACTACAATATAACTTGCAATGACTGTGAATTAGGTCAACTACATAGGTCAATTAGACTAGTAGATCAGGAGTAGTGAGATTATCAGAACATAAGAATTTAGCTAAGGGCAGAATGGTTGACCTCGAGAAGATAAATAATTTAGAAAAAAGCTCAGCAATTGCACTGCATGAATTAACACACAACCACACATGCAATAGGGTGTGTGGGACAGAGTCAAAATTCTAAAAAGTGATATAGGTAGGTGGAGAGAGAGGTTGATTACGGAATCCTGGTTCATTGAGTCTATACCCAACACAAGCAACAGAAATGACTCAATGCAAATACCAGAGATATGGAAGATATTATTACCTCCAGTCAGATCAGAGGAGGATAATAAATAATCTTAAAATTCTATTTCAATTCAAGCACATCAAAACATTCGAACAAGTAACTTATTATGACTATAGAAACACTCGTCTTATTTCCCATCTAATTGTAATTGATCAATAACACTCGTATTATTATTTCTGAATGTACGTTATCTCATATTGAATTTTACTCCAATATCTAACTGATGATGTATATTAATGAAGGAAAAAAGTTGTATGAGTAATGCCTTGATATGATTATGAGTGGCAATAGTTTGTGCTTGAAACGTGGTCATCAGTTTATATAACTGTATTACACTGTGTCATTTATCGAAATGAAATCTTATCTATAATGGAGTTATATTCTACCACATTGCCCAAGTTTTATATTTATATCCGTAATATCCTGGCGGTGTATGCGTACTGATGAAGACTCCCAAACTAGGCTGACTAAACACAACTGTCCAGTACTCCCAGCTTGTTCTCCAATGGTTCTCTAACCGATATCAGCCCTACAAACCAATAATACTTCGAAACTGTTCTGTTACATATTTCAATAATCAACTGTCCCAAACATTGATTTTCGCTGAATAAAACTGAAAGACTACATTCATGTACGCTGTAGCTAACTGTGTTGCTCAATATCTAAAGTGGCTTTATTGCTGTATCCCTTCTAATTGTAGCGTCATCATCTGACCTGGGCATCACTGTTTCAACCCAGAGGTACACTATAAATGACGATAGCAAAGCCAGGGTTATATACATTGGGGGGGGGGGGGGGAAAGCAAGACAGTCGATCACTACTCTGAAATCACTGTGCACATTTAAAGTAATCAGAAAAAAAAACAATCACAGTTTTATAACACTAGGGTGTCACAATTCCATGCGCCTCTATGTACTTCAGGGAATTGGCATCAAATAGGCTGCAGACTTTCGTCAACACATGTCTTCCTCCGCATCAATTAGATAGGCAGACAAACTGGATAACAACTGGCCAGAAAGAATAAACCACGAGGAACTCTGACAGGCACAAGGTCAGCCAAGAATTTATTACGTAACGAATATATATATATATATATATATACTGCACATAATGAAATGAAACGATAACCAACACACACACATAGAGACACATTGCAATATAAAAGTACAAAAGTGCGTCGGTGGCACAGTGGTTAGGACTCTCGTCGACCATGCACATAGTCCGGGGTTCGATCCCCTGCCGACGCACACCTGATATCTATGGTTGGCCTTCAAAATTTGGGCTACCGGTATCATATGCTGAAAATTCCATACCTGTACCAAAATATACGGTGTGGAATCAAGCTGTAATCAAAAAAATATTCATCACTTACGCTGAAGTGTCGAAAATACTCCTCTCTTGTGTCAAGAAATCTCATACACTCTATGCACTGAAATCTTGTAGAGTAATCTGAATTCACTCGTATTTCACTGGCATTATAATTATTACCATGATTTCTATAGACCACCGGGACCCCATTGATGTTTACAAAAGCGTTGCTATGACTACTAGGAGTTGTAGTAACAGTAGACGACGAAGAAGAAGAAGCAGAAGAAGGCAAAGGAAGACGTAGACTTGTAGTGTTTAATAAATTCGTAGTGATTATCGCTGGTTGTGTTGAGTTGACCAATGCGGATGGTAATAACACAGTCTGAGATTCACTTGAACATGCAGAAAGAGGAGGAATAGTAGCAGTCGAAGAATTGATAGAACTAGGCGTATGTGCACCATGTACAACTCTCATATGATACGTTAATTCTTCAAATGAAGATGTTTCAAGCAGCGTTAGTTCTTCTATCCGTGGAAGGGAAATGTTGGCCAAATCATGAGCTAAACAAGGCATTTTATGCGGACAACAAGACAAAGTGAAGATGACATAAATTTAACACGAATATAAAAAAAAATAATTATGATGTAAAAACGGGGGAAAGTACAGAGGTACAGATGATTTGAACCAAGTCTAAATAATTTCGAAAACTATCAAGTGTTAGCCAGCAGAGATTTGATTGGTTGTTACACGATTGATCACGAGCAGATTGATATTAGTTAAGAGGACCAATGGAAAACCAGCTGGAAGTACTGCCAGACAGATGTTTCGTCAGCCTAGTTTGCGACTCTTCATCAGTACTCAACTCACCCATCGGGGTCTACGAGTTCACCTCGCAACTGGAGACTGCTGGGTCTGAGTCCCGATGCATACTGATGAAGACTCACAAACTAGGACGAAACAACTGGTTCTCCAACTACTGTCAGACAGCTCATGATCAATCCTGTAATTTCGAAAACAACAAAATGAATATTTGAAGAGGAGAGATAATAATTGTTACACACTATTACACAAGAAATACTAGACAGTGATAAGCAACACTGCGGTGCATCTGTCTGGTAATAGTAATCCGTTGGGGGTTTCGATATGAGACTGATGCACTCTACTCATGTCGTGTATTGGTGACTACATTCTCAGTTAGACTGCATGCCACCTCCTTTCAACACCCAGGCTGACAATAAATGAATTGATGTCTTCGTTTAAGCAACGAGGCTACCACCACAATGTTAGACTGGCTGTCAAACACACACACACCTTGTCTAACAAAACGCTTTCTTGCGCATAGTTCTAATACACATAAGCCAGTAAAGTCTAGCCGCTGTGAACTAAAAATACCTGCCGACCACCTATACTTGACCACCATGAGGATAATTAGAGGTCTATTGGCACATACAGAGATGACTTCATCTATGCTATTTCCAAGTTCAACTGTTGGTGTACAAAAACCTCCACGGTGAACGCCAGTGGGGATCATGTGAATAAGTATGGGAAACAGTCACCACTCGATCAAACTATTCTAACTATAGTGCTGTCGCGATAAGGTTAAAACTAGCAATCACTTCAATCCAGCTTATATGCAATCGAAACATCGGTCAGTGCAAGACAATAAGTTGACGGAAAAGGCAATCTGTAAACTAATGCAAAACTATCACTCATCATTGTTGAAACTCAACTGCCCTGATGAAGTCGTTTGTCATTTTACAAGTTATGAAACACACACGATTATTGCGTGGGAATAGATGAGATATTACTGCCCAACCAGTTGCCAGGATAAGAAGGGGGAACAGCACAGCACAACAGTGGTTGGCAACGGAATGTACATTTGCAATTCAATATGCGCATATAGGGGAATCATGATATACACCTTGTATGAAATCCATCATTTACACAGATCTTCCGTGTTGTGCTACTTCTGTCCACCCCCCAATCCCACTTTGTATTGTGTCTTCTCCTTCTTTTCGTGTCTCCCATGTTTTCTCACACAGTATACTGGTTCATTCGCTCGCTTTGACGTCGAATTCATCTCCCTCATGTTTGATATTTTTGTGCCAACTAACGTCTTTGTATATACACTACTGACGAATCTTGTCAGTAGGTAGCTGTAGTGGAATACGAACCCACAACTGACTGGCTGAAAGTTGTGTGAGTAATCACAATGTTAAACTACCTCAGAGATTGGAAAAAGTCGTCTGCAATTTAATTACGGTGTGTCTAGATGAATAACATCGGTGATGCCTCAGTCATAGAATAATCTGTCTGTCTGTCACCCGCTCTCTCTCTCTCTCTCTACAGCTACGCTATAAGTCTGGGTTCGACTCCCAGCTGGTGTACGCCTAAATCTGGCCTAGCCAATAGTAAGAAACTATGGGAATAAACAAAACAGGAACCAATCGGTCAACAAATATGCAGGAGAAAATGGAGATGGATTGGACACTCGCTGAGGAGGCCGCTGGGTGACATCGCATGTCAGGCCAACGCTCGAGTGGAACCCGAAAGGGAAGCGGCGAGTGGGACGTCCAAGAGTGACATGGAGGAGATCGTGTGAAGAGGAGCTGAAACAGTATGGATTAACATGGATGCAAGTGAGAAGTACAGCAGAAGACAGAAGCAAATGGAGACGTGCAGCTGAAGCCCTATGTTCCACTAGGAACCCAAGGGAACAATAATAGTAATAAACAATAGTAAGTAACCCCGAAAAAGAGGGAATGTTAAGCGTGAGGCTAGTTGACCACCCCACCACCCCCGCACGCCTCGAAACACACACACACCAGTTAGAGCTTAAATCCCCATACGTTCAACTCGAAATATACAAGGAGGGCAGGCAGGCAACATAGAAAACATAGATTAGTAGTATAACACATTATTCATTGAAAGACACGTATTTAGATCAGAAGATCTCATTATAAAGCGACAAAAAACAACAACAACGGTAGACAAACATGTAGAGACGGGAAAAAAAACACCAAGTGAGATAACTTACATGAATTCAACATATTAGAATCCGGACCAGAAGAAGTTTGAAGTGAAGATGTTGAATATTGCAGTTGTTGTTGCAGAAGCATATTTTCCCTATTTATCGCATGCATACCCCCCACATGATGTATTGTAGAGGTATAACTCCTATTCGAGATGACAGGCATTGGAACAGAACTGGTATTATTATTATTAGGAATAACGGCAGTGTTACCACTATTACCAGTTTCATCTCTGAAACTTGTACTCGGCTGTTGACTATTATTATTATTATTACTTATACCAATAGATTCTAATTGTTCCTGGTGTTTTATACAAATCAGGCATGAATAAATTCGCTTTGAATGACATTCAAAATAATGTTGGCATAAATTTTCAAATGACTTATAGCCTTTTCTATTATCACTTTCATGACAATAACAACATTGAAAGATTTCTCTCAAATTGAAATGAAAGCATACAAAGCGGAGATGTACACGTAAGCATAATTCAGCACAATCCGGAGATAAATATGGTGGAGGCTTGAGGAAAGAAAGAAAGAAAGAAAACAAGATTTAGCAAAAAGAGGAGAAAGTAATATGCGGAAAAGTTTTTTCTTTTAAGTATTAAGTACACGAAGTTAAATCAATTTACAGTATAAAATGTGATATCATCGTCATTCTATTTCACAGGTTCTCATCAGCTGCCGTAGACTACCTGAAATTACAATGGTTATATAGATAATGATAATAACGTAATTTAATGTTTAAGTGGTAGTAGAGAAGAAGGAAATACTATAAAATTGACGCATTCAAATGAAAGTGATTAACCTCTCACTCCCTTGGTAACTGAATTTTGATTTTGATTACATTAATTAGTCATGTAATTCAGTGATCTCAACTCACTGAACAAATCTTATAATCTCATAAACTGTAACCGCTTTTGCTTTTCGAGTTGCTATGTGAACAAGCTACAAGCTAATACTGTCCTGTTAATTAATTTTTTCTGTTTTCTGTCCTACCCCTCCCCTCCCATCTTTTATACTTTGAAATCGTATAAATTGACGATGAAAACTTAAACTAAAGATTGTAATGCTGCTTACATTTTGGATGAGTCAATTTTATAGTATTTCCTTCTTCTCTACTACCACTCAAACATTAAAGTATGTTATTATCATCTATGTAACCATTGTAATTTCAGGTAGTCTACGGCAGCTGATGAGAACCTGTGAAATAGAATGATGGTATCATTTTATACTGCAAATTTCGTCTTCCTTTCTTTATCAAAATTTGTGAAGGGAACCGAATGTATAGATCAATTTATGTGGATATATATATATATATATATGTATCATCTGGCCTGCCACCTATCTCTCACAGAGGACTATTGCATAACGATGACATTAGCTGGTACCTGTCGTGCCCAAATCAAGAATTGGTAGAAGTTAGAATTCATGGGTTGGCCGGCCATTGATTGAGACACAAACTAACTAGGCTGACGAAACAGCTGTCCAGTACCAGTACTCCTTGATGGTATCCAAAGGTTCTTTCTCTCTGTCTGTCTCTCTCTGTAACTGCAATCAATCCATGGTCAAACTTTGAAAACAAATGAAATCCGTAGAAACCAACTCTTGCAAAAATAAGCATAACAATATATCCCATCCCATAGTATACAAACCATAAATTAGTTAGTTAAATTCTTCTCATTCAGTTTTGATGAAAACAAGGTAATGTGTAAACCAGGAGAAGTGGTTTGTAGTCAGACTTGACACATGTTTTTGGTTGGATTGGGTTGAAGTCAGCAGCGGCAGCAGCAGCAGCAGGGATAATCTCACTCACAGAAGATATGGCCTTCGCCAGGAAATATCCTTTTATGACTGACTATCTTCAGTCATGCAACGCCATTATTGGCCACACACACATACATGCATATCATCATTGTTTTTTCTTGACATGCGATTGCACTTACACTTATACAGATACCGTTCAATGTATATATGCGCAGATGTGGCACATTGGCTGGCTTAAGCACTCAACTTACAGTTAATGAGCCCTCCGCCCCGGGGTCGAGTTCCGCGCTCCACCTACTACTTCAGCCTGGGCAACTAACTAACTGGGTAGTACCCATAGCCCCTACACAATAAGAATGGATTATAGCCCAGCCCAGTACTGGGTAGTTGAGATTTAACTACTACAACCACTACTGTAAAATATATACTCTCCACATCTCATTTCGTTGTGTGTTCTGGTTTAAGTAAAATAGGCTGGAGGGAAACAGATAACTGTCGTATACTGTGTTGTTAGCGTAATCAAGTTGTATTCATGGTCAGTGCATGCGTCTAAGTAAAGAGCGCATTGGCGTCTATATATATCCTACTTCGACATCAGTGATATTGCACAATAAAGTCACCACATCATAACAAGTACACTTTAATGGATTCTGTGGAGATATACAACACTCACTCACTCACAGTACAAGAACAGAGAGATCCTAATTCTTTAACCCTAATGTCAAGTTAGTTAGTCGTCAGTGCTTTCATACATACATACTGCGGAAACTTAGAGCGTAAATCATCAATACTATTTCTAACATGCTTCTGCGGATATCTCTCCCTTATCAATCAGCACCTAAGTTCGCTCGATGATACTACAGATCAGATCACCGCGTCAGAAAGGACAAGTAGCAAGGAACTTGGGTAGCCGTCCAGTGAAACAGTCAATAGCCTTTTACCCGATAAATAAGCAGAAGGGAGGGTGTGGATGATGGATTCAACATATGCTGGAAAGACCTTCAACGGAAATAACACGTTACGGGTTTGAGTAGAATCGAGATCGGAAGTGATAACGAGATAAAGTCAGAAAGAAATCAAAGCTTGCGAGCAGCAGTCATCAAGTCAGCTGATTAGGATGCCCAGAGACCCGAGTGCTGTGTAAATGTGCCACTAAGGCTCTACTTCCTCTACTGGGAATGCAGAGAATGAAGAGTGACAATTAATTAATTAATCACATAGCATGGAACTGTTGCACCACCACCAATTGTTTAGAAAATACCTTTCAGGTCTCCTTATCATCTGACCAGTCTACACTATCGTGAGCCGCCTTTGCTCTACCTCTCAGCAGCGTCCCCAGTACAACAACCTTCCCCGTCGAAGTCTTGATGACCAACAACTAACTCACAGACGCCATCAAAATCCCACAAGAAGTTCCGTATGTCTCCTTCTTTTGAAGAAGCTGGCCATGTAATCTTCATTGTCAGGAGGCAGCGACAATAAATGTAACCAGAGAAGACAAGACACTTACTTGGTAGTGGAATGTATATTTAGTATCTAACACCTCTACATAGGGAAATGATGTACGCCTTATTTGAACATCGTCATTTCCACAAACAAATCTTCCGTGTTGTGCTACTTCTGTCTACCCCCTCCACTCCCACTTTGTATTCTGTCTCTTTGTCTCCTTCTTTTCGTGTCTCCCGTGTTTTCTCACGATATACTGGTTCATCCATCTGTCCACTGTTTGATATTTTTGAGACAATCAACGAGTCTCTGTGTATACACTACTGATAAATCTTGTCAGTAGTACACACCACAGTAGCAGTAGATCGATCAATTAAATTCCCTTAATACACATATTTTGTCGCTGATGTTTCATTCATTAGCAATGCAAAAATTAATAGTTAATCCGTAATATATACACATATTTCCACCCACCAATGAAAAGTTGCACATTAAAACACCATGCATGGAATGTATTCACACACCTGATGAGTAATACTCATATCTCAAAAACAACAACAACAACAACAAAACTCATTCACACTTTCAGGACAGTTATGCATACAACACAGTTACCAATATTAAGAATACACAACTCTAGTTATCTGAATAGTTAGTTACACAAAGTTCATTTTGAAAATCCTTAGCTCAGTGTCTCTATATGAAGCACAACACGTGTTCATATCACACATCATATAAGAACAGAACAATGTCGTCGGAAAAATCTATGGACTTTGTGCACACATTCCAATATTTACCTGCACAATTCATCTCATTAGTCTACCACCAGTCAGATAACAACAAATCAAGTACTGTCACATGATGGACGTCGTCAGTCAGAATCCAGAATGCAGTCAGTCAATCAGTCACAGTCAACGCCCACCTTGAGCCTTGTGACTGGATCAATAATATTTTTGTCCACTTGATTACTCTCTCTCTACCTCTTACTTACTCGCTTGTTTTGGAAGTACACATGTAACAACAGCAGGCAAGGGCCAGGCAACAGATCGTTTATTAACTAAAATCAACACATATTTATAGATTTTAATGTACATTATTGTTAGCAGTAAAACAGTCTTCTGATTGGTTGTTTCTCACAGAAAGTTAAACTTGCATCTCTTTGTGGTTGTGTCAGATCACCTATATTCTAACTGTATCTGCCTACGCAAAGCCTTTGTTCTCATTTTCTCACCACCAATATTGGGGACATAAACACTAACGTCAATTACTGTCTAACAACTTTGGCCAGCAGCCAGCTCTCTCCACACACCCTACTGTGTGAGTCCTCTGGAATTTACGTGATTCGGGGTCAGGGAATAATCGACTAGGAGCATTCATTATCGTCACTTGACAATAGTATGCATATTTGGCGACGCCATAAAACACAAGACCCAGCTAAATCAGTCCATGAATGCGTTTCTAAACACATCATTATCGAGTGACTTATGTATCCTATTTAGGCGTCTATATGACAAAATTCGACTCTGTACATGAAATGGTTCCACAGAGAATATATATATGTCACTTTGCAGATTTCTGGCCTGACTGAAAATGTTTCGTAGCCAGTCTCTCACGTTTAAACACACAGTAGTGAATAAGTGTGTTAAAAAGAAGTTTAAGAATATCAATGTGAACAGGTTCCCTACTTTCAAAGGTTGCAAGGATAACTCACATCATAATAGCTTTCACAGAAGTTTCAGTATTCATCCACTTAATGACTATTGTGTAGAGAGTAAACAACTGAAGAGTTTAGTGGGGAGGGAGTAAGGGCCAGGATTAGATTACACACTTGCAGATTATCACTTAGTGTATTTGTTGATGTGAAAACTTTCTTCCTAAATTCTGAATTCGATTTCTTCTGTATAACTAACTACAATAGTAACCTATGCAAAATGTGATTAGCCCACTGCAACCATTCACCTGGATCACTCGATTTCAATAGCTTTGCCATTTCTTAATTGTGAGCGTCGATGGCACACAGCGGTAGAATGCTCGTCATCCACGAATGTGGCTCGGGGTTCGATCCGCGGCCACCAACGACGCACTCCTTTTCCTCTCTAAGCCAGTAATAACACTGGTAAAGAGGGAAGGTAGGAGGGAGGGCATGAGGCTGGGCTAGCAAACCCATCTCATAAAAATGAAAACACCACTGCTACCGAAACTTCAAGCTTGGAGCCCACCCTATTTTCCACTAGGAACGTAAAGGAGTAAAAATATTTTTTTTTAATTAGTCATGATTGATTCCAGCATTTACATATGTAGTACCTTCGGTCTGTACGAGGGTGGAACACAACACAAAAAGCAACAACAACAACAATAAAGTATTATAACTCACCGTAAATCCACACTGAGGACACATTAAATAACATCCCAAGTGTAACAGTAAATGGGCTTTAATCAAACATAAATCTGATTGTACTATACTCAATAATTGACCACATAGACCACATTTTGTATTGAGTACAGTTCGACCACTACCCATAAGATGTATTTTAAGCTTTTGTTTATCATTTGTTTGAAAGTTGCATAAGAGACAACGTAACACACCGAATGGTTGTTGCTTTTGTTGTTGTGATAATGATGCTGGCGCTGGCAGTTGATCACTTGATGAGGTGACCATTAAATTTTTACTAGTCGCTTGTATTGGCAGCAAATTATCATTATTTTCAAGGTCACCTCGTCGGTTGATTGAATCAGAAGATTGAACCACTGATGCTGTTGCTGTTGCTGCTGCTGCTGATGATGATGACGATGATGGAGTTGAAGACTGCGATGAACGATACGAAGACAATATCACGTTTAAAGCCCAATTCAGATGAGCATTGGATGGAGCGGATGGAGGTAGACAAGTATCGTAAAGTTCTATGATAGAGAAAAATTAGACAAGGGAGATAAGTAAAAAAACAAAACAAGGGATAAGCTTATTGGAGTTATATTTTCATTGGAATTTGAGTTTCTTGAAAAGATATTGAAGAGCAATGGGTATTCTTGAAGGTTAATCAACAAGTATGGAAGATCTGAAGTCACAAATGCCAAATAAATCACAGTGGGTAAAAAGCCAGTCTACATTCAGCTTGATTATTAAGGTGAAAACATTGCAGCGATGATCAATAGAAGGCTGAGTACATCACTAGCCATAGCCTATCCTGCACCTAAGCTCGTCCCCATCTATCGAACAACTTGCTCTTTGGTGCAATCAAAAATCGACAGATATCCTTCTCATGTTAACAATTTCAACTGTATTTACAAATTTACATTTATCTGCGGGAGCAGTTACATTGGAAGAACAGAAAGAAGGGCATATCTACGATTTCCTGAACATGTACCAAAAAGCTTACGTCTAAAGGGAACAAATGCTTTAAACAGTGCCATCGCCAGGTAGATATACTTTGCCCTGTAAGCAGCTGACGAGAAGGCAACGAAATAAACAATGATGGTACCACTTTATTCTGCTAAAACTGTAGTTCTTGCTTTGTTCAAATTCCTTAAGGGGAATAAATGTATGACATTAAACTAATGTTATATGTTTATTCCTTTCTTTTAGTGTAGATTGAATTCTATCAGTCAAGTGGGCAATGTGGTCATCATGGCCATCATGGTGTGATTTCGCCATCATGTTGGACTCTGAATTCTTATTAGATGGTTGTGGATGCAATCGGTAAGAAATTCTGGAGCTAGATTTGGTGTTTATTGTCACTCGTCAGAGGAAGGTGTATGTGTATCTGCAATCTTGCAGGAGTTCCTTACGTGATTCGAATCCGAGTCACCATCATCCATTCAGTGGTGAGGCAGTGAGAGACATATTAAAACTAAGCTAATCAGGCTCATAACTGATTGACCTACTACTACCACAATAGAACTTCAGTGGATATTTTGACTGGACACTGGGAAGTAATTACTGTCATGCGTTTAGCCTGAATTCCTACCAGTTAACAAAAATTTAGAAGGAAATCATTCAAATCATGAAAAAAAGATGGATTACACCCATGACACAACTCGAAAACCAACACAGTTCTTCTCAGACAATATCAAACAATCAATTACTACCTCTATGTTGTAAAAAAGGTTTCAAATTCATGCCCACAAAAAATAAGCTGCACAACATAGCTATACCACCTGGGAATTGTGGTGCACACACACACACACACAATGGTTACTGTGCTCAGTCACTATTAAATACACTCTTACATCATCCACTCGCATACAGAGTGTAACAGTGTTGTACAGTTCACTCACAATCTTAGCTAACTCTTTTTTCTAACTCAATCAATCCTATATCAGTTATAACATTGTTTAACAAGGAAGGAAAGATAACTGCTCAGCATTTGTGACGTGCATGTCTTAGCCATCTCAATCAATCAATCCAGTATTACAAGCCCATCCATCTAGTGACTTTCTCTTTTTTCTTTCAAATAATATTTTACATGCTTGATCTTATAATTACTGACAACAGCATACACTTAACACCAATGGGGTCAAAAGGTTGGCTGCCAATCTCTTTTTTTTCTTCTTTTATATCCGTGTATCTTCAACGACCAAGTCTCACAGGAACTGAAAGAGCATTGTCAAACGACTCAACACACACACACTGAAATCACTGATAATATTAACGAAGACAGTCATTTGAGAAAGTAAAGCCACTCTTTTTAGATAATTTAAACGAATAGCTAAACACTGTTTGCCGCAACACTGTATTGAAAGTGAAGCATCAAATACCGAGCCCGGACACTTTAAAGTGCATTCATAAATTTAACTACTCTTGTGGAGACAGTTAAATAAATAGGTAGAACGACTCGAAAAGCCTACGGTCGCTTTCTTGAGCACTGTCCAAAAGTGTTTAGGTGGGGGAATCGTTGAGTCAGATCAGAAGTTCCATATTGGCACCCCTTGTGGATACGGAGGATAAGATTGATAAATATTCAGCTTTTACAATTCTATACAAGGTGCCACCTCAATTCTCTAAGTTACTACGACATTGGTTGATAAGCGGCATAGCTGAGGCAGTTGGCATAACAAAAAAACCAACACAATCGCTGTGTTCAGGAAGTTTGTTTAGCCTTTCCCCGTCTCTCCCTCCTGTGACCTTCAACATCAATCTAGGATAGTTATCTCTTCCAGTGACACCAGATAACTGTAAATATTATCTCATATTTATTTGTACTGCTAGCTAACTGTATTATCAATATCATGCTGTGTTGTAGTTGTACATTTTAGGCTTGGTTTCACAATTTATCGTTATTATTATTATTATTACTACATTATCTAATCGCTGTGTGACAAAAGTTATCCTCCCCTCTACACCTACTGGGATGCACATTCTACCTGAACACACTCACCATTATCTAGATTATATGGACACTTGAATGAATTTATCCTTGTTATTATTATTTCTATTGTGATAACCTCGTTTGTTATTGATTAATTCACATCCCTGAACTCTGATCTTGTATTTCATTAACCACATTCATCATTCAAATGCCCATGACTAATATTTCATAATAATGTAAGTGTAAACCCAGATGAGAATTTCCGGGATATACGTATTTTCTCTAGATAAACATTTTCTCCTAACAAACTGCCTTGGTGGTTCGACGACAAAATGCTCATCAACCACCAACCACTCATCCACGTGACCCGAGGTTCGATCCCCAACCCCCGCACACCTTCATCTAGCCCCCCAACCCACTAGCCGGTTTCTAAGCCGGACAAAGAGGAAGAGTTGGATGTAAAGCTGACAACCCCACCACCACCACCACCACCCGGTAAAATAAGAGCAACACCAATAAATAATGCTACTGAAACTTCAAACATGAAGAAGCTTGAAGACCACTCAGAATGCAAAAGGATAAAATATTTTGGAAAAATTTCCTAACAAATTAACTTCATCAGCACTGCTTACTTTTAGTTATTGCACTGTAACTACCGCCAACATTCACACTGTTATCACCGTTATTGGTTTGACCATTTTCGACAGCAGCACCACCAACATTATTATTATTAGTTTCAGCAGTAACCGGATTATTGTCACCTTGATGATTTACTGTTTTTGTTGTTGTTGTTGCTGCTGTGGTTGTAGTTGTAGCAGTAGTACCAATTGCTCTGGCTTCATCATTACACCGTTCTGGTAGAAAAAGGTGTGAATGCCAAATTTCGCTAGTGGCACAATTGAGAATTAAACGACATAAGACACTGTCTGAACACGGGAGGCTAGGTAAATTGCTCTCACTGTTGTTGCTACTACTCGGTGTAAAAATACGCCTTAAAGAGGAGAACGTCTCGACAATTATGTCGTCATGTGTTCGAGTTAGTCTGCCAACGGGATTGGAGGAAACTTGTTGAGAGGAAGATGACGCTGATGATGTTGATGATGACTGGAGAAAGTCAAGACTCCCGAGGGCAGATATATTGCTAAAATAGGACAATAAGAAAAAAAATAATCGTCAAGACAATCAAAAAATGAGGTAAACTATTTCTATTTTACAGTAATTGCCAATAGTATCAAGAATAACATACAAAGGCAAATAACGGTGGAACTAATGTTCCTGCAATGTCCTACCATGCCAGAAAGGTAGTTTGATTTGCAATTGGACTAAAAGCAGTGACGTTATATTGTAACTTGTCTACATTATGTTCGAAGTTTCTGGCCGAAGTCATACTGCTGTCGAATAGACATGTATTGGTTTTGTAGGGATTTTTTGTTTAATTGCATGGAGGATTTCATCAGGCAGTGACCTGGGGTTTCAGTAGAAAGCCGTGACCAGTAGGGTACAGCAGGTTGAAGATGAGGATGTAACTCATCGAAGAAGATATTGCGAAATGGTCGCACTATGTCGTGAATTGGCAGAAGTTAGAATTCAAGGACTGGCCATTGGATCGGGTCCCAGTGGCTCAATGGTCTACGAGCTCTCCAACCTTGTAACCAGAAGGTCCTGGTTTCGAACCCCGGTGGGTGCGTACTATTGAGGAGTCCCAAACTAGGACGAAACAGCTGTCCAGTGGTCCCAGCTGGTTTTCCAGTGGTTCTCTAACTGATGTCAGCTCATGATGAAATCCTCCATGCAATCGAATAGACATGTAACAGAAGTAGCGTGTTTCCCTCAGATGACCAGCAAGCTAGCTAGCTATACTGCCTCCCTGCTATGGAGAACGGGAGTTATAAAAAAATTCGATCCCAAAAATTGTACATCTCGATTTATCTTGCAGATGTAACTCAAAAAAAACCACTTCACACGGGTCGTTTATGATCAGTCTCAAGTAGTTGTCTTCTGAGCTCTGCGGTAACACAATACTAGTGCTCGGTCTGTTTGAATTATCTCAAGAAGAAATCAATTTCCATGATGTCAGCAGCCGGGAAGTAATGACTAGCCAAAAACACACACACACTTCCAATTCACATTTCTTATTGAAAGTAGGAGACTGAACAGTTGCTGTCGCAGACAACAATCGTATTGATAAACTAAATAAACAGGGCTAAGCCAGCTTTTCAGTAACTGACTTAGAGTGGCGGCGTGTTTCAAGTGTGAATTAACACTCTGATACTGACAATGAGTGCTAAATATGTGGGTCAACTATATTCAAGGTATGCTGTGTAATCTCTTCAAGGAATATTCTTGATACAGAACTGAGAAACATCGGTGAAAAGAAAGCTTGTTTGGTAAATAAGATGCTCATACTTTGTGAATACCAGTACGACAGGTGGCATGGAGATTCAAAGCTTTCTTATGCTTCAGACACTCGGTACGTCATTAAAAGCATCTCCAACAGACCATTGTAGACTTTTGTAATAACAATGAGAGCTTGAAATAGAGCACAACAAGGACGCTGATACTGGAAACGAACAAGCCGATCATTCATACTGCTCGACTAACGCCAAAAACATTATACGACAGCTAATGGCGTATGCGTGAGTGATAACGATAACTAGATCAATACCTGGTCAAGGGGACATAGACGTGAGCGAAGATATCGACACCGATCATGATGATGAATGACTTTATTGAATATCCCAGAGGATTGTGGCTTCTTGACCTGTTGCTATGGTGGTTCACCGATATATTTCTTTCGCAAGCTTTTAAAGGGAAGTTTTGCATCAAAACTTCTTTTCTGGAGTATATATTCTTGAACTGTGTTACACTTGCGGCACTTTTATTAGATAACGTTGCTTGATACCCATATCTGCGCTGAGCAATATAACTAGCAGATTGAAGGAGGCGGCTAGTAAAAAAACCGAACGCATACTACTACAGATTTGCCACGAGATTGTGCTGGTATATCCTGGCCTACGGTACTGAAACACCTTTGATAACCACTGGATGAAGGAGACGTCGCATCAAAAAAGGGAATACTTCACATGACCGCCCATATACAATTCAGTGGAAACAATCACAAATTCTAGTACAATTAATTCAGTTATATATATATTGACAAAAAAAATGTTGTATCTGGAGACGCATTTAACTCAAGTTAGACGAACCACAACTGCACTGATACTTTGTCCAAAAAAACTTTGGTGACAGCGTTATTCAGTTCAGTGGAAACAATCACAAATTCTAGTACAATTAATTCAGTTATATATCCAGTCATGTCAATTTTACAAGGGTTCAATCACCTACCTACTTATCTACCTCAAATTTCACAAAATTCAGTTACTACTACAACAACAACAACAGCGCCAGAAATACTATGAAGCCTTACAACAAGCTAAACTCTCATCCAAATCCTCACTAAGAAATTATCTTTCCAATCATCTAGACACCCAATCCCATCCTATCCCATCTCCATACTCAGACTGTTCATTCTCTTCTCAAGTCAGTCAGTCAGTCAGCCACAGAAGTACACAGCCATTTATCACTTGAGGCATTATTGGGACAGTTCACCTTCAATAAAGCCATGCTGGCTGCCTATTATCACCGATGATATTTTTAATTGTGGTGGACTGGATTATGCATCACACTGGATGTGGGGAGTGAGAAGACATGAATACGCTGGACCACCGATAAGAAGACTCTAGAACATCTGGATTTCACGCATCGATAACATATGTCGAATGTCACACACACTCGAAGACTTACAGGCAGACAGGTAGGCGAAAACCAACAAACTTCCCCAAGAGGTGAGACAGACAGCGAACACACGACTCCAGGTGAACATAGAGAAGATAGAATAGAGACGGAGGTGATGAAGATAACCAACCAACCAACCAACCGTCACAGCAACAACAAACAGCACTAATCACCATCAACGGGAGAGATTTGACTGAGGTTGTCTCCTTCCCTTACCTAGGCAGCCAGCGTCGTTTCCACTACAGCCATTCGGAACGGGTGAAGATGTCAAAGCAGGCCAGAATCAGAAAGGCAAGATACACCTTCATCAATCTGAAACCAGTTTGCAAATATTCTGCACTCACTCAGCAGCATAAACAACAACATTCGCATTCTATTCAACACAAATCTGAAGTCAGTCAGTCAGTCAGTCAATTCTTCTATATGGGTCAGAAACTTGCACTGCACGTGAGTAGTCACGAAAAGGATTTCCAACAGCCTGTTTCAGACTTTCATCAACAGCTGCCCACTTCGCTGGCTGGCTGACTCCATACTAAAGATCAAATGGCCAGGAAGAATTAGCAACAAGAAATTATGGCTGGGAACAAACCAACGAAGAGCCGCTCGCTCAACAAATATGTAGGAGAAAATGGAGATGGATTGGGCATAAATAAGTTGAGGAGACAGTTAAATGACGTCGTGCACAATGCAGGCCATTGCTCGGGCGGAATCTCAATGGGAAGCGGCGACGAGTGGGTCGTCATTGTTAGGGGGACATGGAGGAGGAGATGAGAGACTGTGGGCAATCATGGTCCAAGCAGAAGAGGACGGCAGAAGATAGGACAAAGTGGAAATGTGTTGTTGAAGTTGTATGTTCCGCTCGGAACTCAAGGGAATAATAATAATATTATCATTATCACCTTTCAATCCTGGTCATGATTATTAGTGAAGCTGTTGTTAGATAGACTAGAAAAATCAGGAGTGCCAGTTGACAATTTTCTGAATTTATCCATGTAAGTAATAATCAATGTATTCATTCATTGACTGCTACAGTAACAGTAGGAGGGCAAAGCACAGAAGTTATGCTATATTTTTAATTGATCAAACCGCTGTTTATATACATACGGTTTATATTCGTTAACTAATCACTGAGCTTATGATGAACTTTGGTTTACATTAAACGACATGAAATAGAATGTTCAAATACACACACACACACACACACACATCGTATTCTGTTGCTAATGCAGTATTGTGCTGTGGGAATAGGTGAGAATAATATTCCATTGGAACACATTGTCTGTATCACACCCACCACAGTATTAGCATAAGTAAAACACACACAAAAAAATAATAAAATCAGAAGAAAAAGTTGTAGTGCAAGATGAAACTCACCTAAGACTATGTTGAAGATCACTCCAAACTCTTGATTTACATAAATCATTCAAATGAGTTTTGACAAGTTGATTGGATGTTTGACGTGTAGGCGCTGGCTCATCTACGACAACAAACAACACAAACAATCGGGAAATGAAATTGGAGAATGAAGGCAAAAAATGCAAAAGACAGACAGAGAGAGAGAGGGAGGGATTAACAATTATGAATACTACTCAACAATTGCAACCAACAAACAAATAAAGGCCAGTTATGCGGCAGATACATTTTTTAACGTAGAATAACAGATTGGCAGTTATGGGGTGTCAAAATAAATAGTCGTATTTGTGTGACAAACGTGCTAGGCTGAATTCGATTATTGTAAAACGGGAGACAATGGTGATTAATCATAATAGATTTGTAGAGTGTGGGGTAGGAAAATTGACAAGTGAGTTCAAGGTTATAAAAGGTGTCAGGTGAGTGGCTAGTACAAAGTGGTCCCATTGCAGTCTTACTATCTCCTGTTTAACACAGACCACTTTGTACTAGCCACTCACCTGACACCTTTTATAACCTTGAACTCACTTGTCAATTTTCCTACCCCACACTCTACAAATCTATTATGATTAATCACCATTGTCTCCCGTTTTACAATAATCGAATTCAGCCTAGCACGTTTGTCACACAAATACGACTATTTATTTTGACACCCCATAACTGCCAATCTGTTATTCTACGTTAAAAAATGTATCTTTGCATGGAGGATTTCATGATGAGCTGACATCAGTTAGAGAACCACTGGAAAACCTGGGAGTACTGGACAGCTGTTTCGTCCTAGTTTGGGACTCTTCAGCAGTACGCGCCCACCGGGATTCGAACCCAGGACCTTCTAGTTACAAGGCGAGCTCATGATGAAATCCTCCATGCAATTAAACAAAATCCCTACCAAACCAATACTTGAACAAATGTATCTGCCGCATAACTGGCCTTTTTTGTAACGACAACAAATATATTTTATAATTGTAAGAACCTGAAGAGAAATTATTGAAAAGAATATTCTTCGTTCAGATTGACTTTTAATTCATAATATGGGAATTTTCCACACTATCAAAACAAATAAAGGTAGAGTATTACACTCTTAGCACCATGGATTGTTGTTTTCTTTCAAAGTATAGCCTGCTTACAAACAGGTGTAGGTATACACAATATTTTTCTTTTTGATAATTGAGACTTTATTCAATCTGATAATATACGCTAACATTCTGACCAGTTTGGGGTTTCAAGACGATATACACACTTAAATTCCATTATAAACCGATATCAGTTGAAAGAGCCAGTGAAAACCAAAAAGTGTATTGGACAGATGTTTCGTCAAAGTCCCTCAGAGGGACGGATGATCGGAATCTCTGTGTCAATATTGAATAAACAACATGTGGTTTGTCTGTTCGGACAGATATCCATTTTCGCGGTGCGGGGATGGGATCGGGAAACATTGGGGGCTGTGACGTAATCATAAGCGGTTTGGCAGAGGACTGGAGAAAACACGATCAGAAATATTGTGATATGTGCTGTAGTAACCCTGTAGTCCTGGTAAATTTTTCAGTGGAGAAATAAACAATCCACGAATCGCCGATCTGTTTTCTGGTATTTTCGAGTTGGTTACCGTACACAGTAATCTGAGACAGCGATTAGTTTTCTGCCAGCAGAGCTAGGTCCAGAATCTTGCCCGATTTGGACAGTTGACACACTGGTTTCCGATAGGCTTCCAACTGACGTTAGTTCGTAATCTAACCTACAACCTATCGTGTCTTTACTGTTGCCGCTGTCAACGTTTGACATTAATAAAGGTCAGTGGTTGGAGATCTTAGATGAGGCGATACAAAATCACTTTATAATAGCATTGATGTATTTATTGTCCCGAACACACTTATTACTGCCCATCTGAAGTACCGGCGTTGTTAACTATCTATGTGTTTTCTTTCACCTAGGCCTTGGGATTCCCCCTGATTGTCGCCAATGATGGAAAATCTTATGCATTTAACAATAACCTTGGATTAATGGCATAAAAGCATAGGATAATAGATTTCAGGCATTCACATGTTCATAATTACTAACAACTTTAGTATTTCCAAACTTGGTTAAGAATTTTAAGTAATTTGGTGAATGATGGTGACTAGCAGTGGAACCCATCCACCTCCACCCACCTACCCACACACACCATTTCGTCCTATTTGGGACAGGCTCATCAACTGACTGTACCTGCATCCCTCCTCAGAGAGTGATGGTGTTCCCTCCACTGAGGAGGCTTGAACCCACCCACCCACTCAGTAGCCATAGTTACAAAGACTAAAGTGTTATCATCCACTGGACCACTTACTTGGACGACGAGTGTGCCATTCATCCTCTTGTGTGCAACGGGTAACAGGTATTAGTTATTATTTAATTTTTCTAAAAGCCATTAGAATTGCTTGTATTCCACCACCTTATATTGTCCACATTAACTGAATATTTTTTTATCAAGTAAGACTAAACTGACCTGATTACTAGTTGACCGACCAGTAATCACACAATTGCACTGATTAGTGTTAGTTAGTTAGTGTAGTAGTTGTTTGAATGATGAACACTACTCAGGCAAAAGATGAAATTGTATTAACTCTCACTCACTCTCTCTCTCAATAATCATTTGAAAACAACGAGTACTATTCATCCATGCAACATTTACAATAAATCAGACCTGACAATTAATCACTTGTCAGTTAGTCAGCTATGTACTAAAATTAAGCAAAAGTGCTGAATAATCAATTTAAAAGGTCGCTGGACTGAGGCAGTGATGAATTCACATCACAAGGAAAAGTGATGAGACTGCCCTACCTCTGTCTTATTATCGTAATGAAAATCCTGATTTTATCAAATATACAATATAAAATAAATAATGTTTCTGACATGTTTGAAAATCGCATTTTTCGAATGTTCGATGAGTGGTGATCAGTTGAGTTTTATTACTCGTTGATTTATAATCAACATTGAAAACCTGGTCCATAATCACTGCAAACGTTAGACTTGCGTCTATTGACTGCAGTATTTGATTTAATTAGACTGGAACTGATGTGATAAATCAGTCTCACTGGTCAATTGATAGTGTTGTTGGTTGAAGTGATCACTGCTCGTGGTGAAGACAATTTTATTAACTCGTCTGATCACCTATTGGACGCTGATATGAGAATACAGAATATCAATTATTATTATTATTATTGTGCGCCGGTGGCATAGCGGTTAGGACGCTCGACGACCATACACATGGTCCGGGGTTCGATCCTCGGCCGACGCACTCCTTTACCTCGCTAAGCCAGAAGTAATGTTGGTGAAGAGGAAAGGTTGGGCATGGGACTAGCAACCCCATCCTGTAAAATAAACACTGCTACAGAAACTTCAAGCCACTAGCTTGGAGCCCTATGTTCCACTGGGGAACATGAAGGAAAAAAAATTATTATTAATTATTGTTCCCTTGGGTTCAGAGTGGAGCATAGGGCTTCAACAGCACTTCTTCACTTTTTCCTATTCCCTGTGGTCTTCTTTGGCTTGTCGCACGATTGGTCATAGTCTCTGGTCTCCTACATGGTACGCTCACTTTCCACTCGAAGGCCTAGCATGCGACGTCATTCGACGATGGCCTCCTCAACGTGTGCCCACCAATCCATCTGCATTTGCTTTCTACATATTTGTTAAGCAGTAGGTCTAGAACAGTAATACATCTATTTATTTTTCCGCGAATCCTTTTCAACTGGCTACAACTTGAACAATCCAAAAGTGTAAATTACAATAAAGATTTAAACATACGTTTTACAAGATTTTTTTCCAAGTGGAACACAGGGCCTCAAGCTAGAGACTGGAAGTTTCGATAGTATTTAATTTATTCTATTTCGGTGGTAATTATTTTTACGGGATGGAGTTGATAGCCAGCCTCATGCACCCCCACACCTTCCCCGTTTACCTACCAGTCGTATTACTGGTTTAGACAGGTAAAGGAGTGCGTCGTCAGTGCCCGTGGATCGAACCCCGGACCACATGCGTAGCTGGGGAGCATTCTACCGCTGTGCCACCGACGCACCAGTCATCCAATTTTTTCAAAAATAGTCAATCCTTTTCACTCTTAGTTACTCAACAACTTACATCACTCCAGAGTAATAATTACCACTGAGGTGCTACCAATTACTTCTTATCCTTCGTGTAAACAGTATGTTTAAATCTTTACTCAAATTTATACACTTCTGGTTTCTTCAGATTGCAGCCAGCGGTGTGAGAAGAATCCCCAAAATAATAAGAGATAAGTCCATAGTATCCCGGTGGTACATATGTCATTCATGCTTTGTTCAAGTTTATTAAAGAAAAGAATTGTGTGAATTACTTTTAGTTGAAATACACAATCTCACCGACTACTTATTAATGAGTGACTCGATTTAACATAGAACCTTGCACAGCTGGAGCAGTACGAGTTGTCACACTCCACAAAGCAACACAAAAGACCACAGGGAGGTTCAAAAGAGAGACAGAGATAATGAACAGAAGTGTCAGTGAGCGGAAAAGATTAGTAATATGAAAGGACAATAGAATTTCACTGCTTACGATAAATCACAAAGAGTGAATGCATCTGCACCAGCCATCACCGAGGACGATTGTGAGCCATATCACTAATTGCCTCCAGTCACTGATTCTCACCATCCCGAAGACCACAAACACGCACTCTACACCTCCCTACAACGTGGCCGGCTGACTGACTGGCTGACCTAAACTAACTGTTGTGGACTTCATTGACTGATGGAGCCGTGTTTTGGTTTGGTCACCATATGCTAGCTATTCTCCAACCTGATCCATTCTATGTCAGCTAACATTGCCCATTATCGAATAATGCAGTGAATGGCTAGGTTAGGCATGCGTAACACATGTCCTCCTCCTAACCATCTCTCTCAATCAATGTAACTTCACAACCTCGTCGACTGATTTTCCCTCTGACTTACACAGCACTCGACCGATGCCTGACCTCAATATTGCTCACTCTATTATTCCACCTAACATGGGAGACAGAAAGCAGACACTTATAATCAGAGACAGTTAGCCAGAATTTTCATGTCTTCCAATTTCAATGGATGCTGAGCAGTACACATGTTCTTTGATCGATAGCCAACCGGAAATCACGTCTACGCCAGAGATAACGTAGGTCAGCATATGCGAAACGAGCCTTCTGTATCCGTGCCGTGATTTCGTCAGCGATCAACCCGCTGACAACATTGGCTGCTACAGCTTCCCAAATAAGTGTAGTGGTAAACACGCACACGAAGCCCTCCAGAAGCACTTGTTAATCAGACTCAATGCCACCGCCTGCAGCCTATATAGATATTCGTTACATAGCACATGAGTCCATCTATGCAAAACATTGTGAACACCTTTTTAGACAGACAGACAGACACACGCACGCACGCACACGCATGCATATGCATACACATTATAACTATCATAGGACACAACAACAAAAATACAGAAACATACATAGCATTAAGTTACAGCACACATAAAGGGAAAACAAACAACAAATGAGTCAACTCACTCCCTGCATCAGAAGGTTGTGTATCAGCAGTAGTAGAAGTAGTAGTGGAGGCGGTCAGTGCTGCTAAATTTAAATATGTGGCTGGCGTAACCAACGGACAAATTGTAAGAAGCGATGGTCTTAGAATCCAATCGCTTCTTTTATCCGGGTGTACAGATGTCAAATGAGTAAATATGGCGCATTTATTATTAGCGCTGATAATTCCACCCGGTAGAACAGAATAAAATCGTGAGGAGATTTCGCTTTCATGATTATTACTGTTGTTGTTGTTGTTGTTAGTAGTAGTAGTAGTAGTCGGGATCATGGCAAGCGTGACTTCATGCGAACTACCAGCAGCGACGACAGAACTACTAGTTGATTCAGAAGGATTTCTACTGTTGTCCTCCGGACGATGATGATGACTTGTATTTACATCAGCGATACTGACCGCCTCACGTGAAGTTGTTGTCCAAGAAGCACGACAGAGATGACAACGATACAATATTCGAGCAACGGTACGATCCAGGTGGTCTTCATACAAAGCACTGCTTGTAAATGTTGCTCGGCAACACAGGCAAATATAAAAACCCTGTGAAAATGGAGAAACACTAATATTAATAATAACTAATACTTAAAATAATATTAATAATAATAATAATAACACTACTTCATTCAACTTCCCACACCACTATGACTACTTACAACTGGGATGTCGTCACTTTGCTGCATGACTAGTCACGTATTCACTGTCTGTCTGGATTCAACATAGAACTTGGCACCGAAGTGCAGCAGTTCGAGTTGCCACGTTCCAAAGAGCACACAAACGTAGATCAAAAACAGTCAACCTTTTCATGTCTTCAACTCGTATTGGCCATGTTTCAGAGCCATAGAGAAGGACGGGGCGAACTGCTCAGCAGTACACACGTCCCTTGGTTGATAGCCGGATGTCACGCCTACGCCAGAGATGGCGTAAGTTAGCGAAAGCAGCTCGAGCTTTTTGGATCCGTGCTGAGATGTCGTCACCAATGAATCCGTTGGTGCTGATACAACTTCCCAAATAGATGAAGTGGTCAACATGTTCTATCACTTCACTCCCTATCACTAAGCTAGGAGTTGACGTAGGCCAGTCCTGTAGCAGCATCTTACATTTTACAGGGGCGAATCGCACGCCAAACATACGAAGATTGCTGCTCAAGGTGTTCACGTATTCACGATCCCACCCTAAGGCTAGAGTAATACTACTACAGTAACAACAGAAGGCAAGACGCGGACGCCAAGGGATATTTTTCATTGAACAAATCACTCTTTATATATCTACTTACTTACTTTACTTCGGCTATCTCCTACGGGAGGATGAGCCGGCTTCATGTACATCTCGAATCATCGCTGCCCAGGCGCGGCGATCTGATGAAGAGAGTTCATGAAGTTTCATGGGAATTTGGTACGAGTGATGTCCCCAGAATCGCTCGGCCTTTTGTTTGAGAGTGCAGCTCTAGCCTTTACACAAACAATTGTGACCTACAAGGCAGTAAGAGTGGAGTAGGGAGTCCACTATCCATTGGCAGCCGGTGACCGGAGTTCGGTTCATACGCCATTTTGAATGGGGCCAGACATCCAACAAGCCCTTTGTCCATACGTCTACCGGTGAGCTCCATACGCCAGTCGTTGGAGGTTTGGAATCAGGGTTTAGCCATCTCCCCTAGACTGTAATCCAATGGACAGTCAACCCAGTGAAGAGCGCCGGGCATCCGCTTTCGCCCTCTCACTTTGGTGAAAAACACCTCCGCCACGTGAAGGCAGTGAGTAGGACTTCCTCAGGAGAGGCCATGTAAGACGCCCGGTCATATGGGAGCATTTCAAGAGGTGTGCGGAGGGGTGGCCAACCCGCATCGCAAGGCACCCCCCCCCGACCATCCTGAGGCTTTGGAGGTTACCACACAGAGTGTAGTCACAATCTCTCACTACCTTGGTAACCATATCACTTTGACTACCCTGACTAGTTATACACACTAGTGGGCTCAACTCACTAAGCAAGTTTTCAAAATGATGAACTTCAACCTTCTTGAGTTGCCACACTGACACTGTTTATTAGATTCTTCTGTTTTCTCTCTCCCTCCCCCCTTTTTTCATTTTTTTTCTTCATAGTTTAATTGTATATAAATTGATGATAACTTAAACTATAAATTGTAACACTCAAATTCCGGATGCGTTCACCTTATTATGTTTTCTCTATTACCTTTCAAACATTGAAGTATGAAATGTTATTATTTATAACCATTGTAATTTCAGGTAGTTTGCAGCAGCTGATGAGAACCTGTGAAATAGAATGATGATATCATTTTATACTTATGTTTATTATCTCTGTCTCTCTTTTGAACCTCTCTGTGGTCTTTTGTCTTGCTTTGTGTGCTACATGGAGGGACTGTGGCAACTCGAACTGCTGCACAGCTGTTCAAGGTTGAAACCATGTTGAAACCAATCAGTCAGTCAGTCAGAGTAGAAATAGCATGGGAACAAAAATTACATTGGATTAAAAATAGTTGAATAGTTACAGGATTTCATCATGAGCTGACCATTGGTTAGAGAACTATTGGAAAACCTGGGAGTACTGTACACTTGTTTCGTTCTAGTTTGTGACTCTTCAGCAGCACGCACAGACCAGGGTTTGAACCTAGGACCTTCTGATTACAAGGCGAGCTCGTAGACCATTAAGCCACTGGGACCCGATCCAATGGCTAGCGGTTGCGCTATATCGTGAATTGGCAGAATTTAGAATTCATGGGCCATTGGATCGGGCTGATCCCAGTGGCCTAATGGTCTACGAGCTCGCTATTGTTTCACTTTGTTTTCATGCTCATCTTATTCCCATCTGTCTTCGTTCATAAAACTATTTTACATACTACACAACCACTTTTCAATCCCATGTAATTTTGTTTCTACGCCCCCCCCCCCTTGTAATCCATATTCACACCTTCAAACTTTCATATCAAGTTGAATATTATTACTTTCTTCAATGTCACCTGCGTTACTATGTTGAATTAAAAATAATAATAATAATGATTGCGAACACTGCGAACTTATATATTTGTAAGTGCAAACGTACAACTGTTTTGAAGATAAAATTGACGAAAAGATACCCTTTTCTGAGCTCATGTTTTATTCTCTCTGCCTCTCTAGTGTTCCCATCGGGTATTTTCCACAGAATAAATATCCTGCACTGGCACAAGTTAGACAAGAGCTGAGAAAGCAAGAGAACACTACTAGGACAGGTGTTTTTCACATTCTAGTTTGTAATATAATCAACTCTGCATTACTGTATACACATGATCCCACCACGAATCAAACTAAACAGGAGCTTGAAGTTACGACAGAGAGGGGGAGGAGACAGTCAACATTATCTCTCATTTTCAATGGTTTTCTCCAATTGATCTCAACCTGTGATGGAGTTGTTTTATTTTTCAAAATCAAGAAAATCCTGACACTTTTTCTATTTTTGGGGGAATGAAGTGATACAGAACACACACAAAAAAATACTAAATTTAAACGCCAAAGAAACCATGTGGACTGCGCGAAATTAAGTAAACTAGTGGAAGCTGGTCAGAATACTGTGCAATCCTAGCATTTAACGGTATAGTACATATTTTCGAAAAGTGGAGATTTCTAGCTTGCAAACGGTATGGTTTCTCGATTCTTATTATTATTATTGTTGTGCAACACACTAAGAGATACACTTATCGTGTGTGACAGGGCTAATGATAACCGTGGAACAGGAGTCGAGCCTGGCACCCAATTGGTTGGAAGTCAATTGCTTAGGTTAGTCAACTACATCCTCCTCACTGGTATGTTTTCTAAGATCACACATTTAATCACGGACGTTTCGCCATCAGATTAGTCAATTCTTTTCAAGGGAAAAACAATGGAACGCCCAGAATTATTTTATTCACTCACTTTTCTTGAAGTTGAATTAAGTAGCGAATTTGGTAGTGAGTTTTCTAAACGAATATTTGCCTCATTTTCACATTGAATCGCGGATGCCGGTAACTGAAAATAACAATAACAGTGATAATTATAATTATAATATTGATAAAAAAACTGTTGTGTCTGGAGACGCATTTAACTCAAGTTAGACGAACCACAACTGCACTGATACTTTGTCCAAAAAAACTTTGGTGACAGCGTTATTCAGTTCAGTGGAAACAATCACAAATTCTAGTACAATTAATTCAGTTATATATCCAGTCATGTCAATTTTACAAGGGTTCAATCACCTACCTACTTATCTACCTCAAATTTCACAAAATTCAGTTACTACAACAACAACGACAACAGCGCCAGAAACACTATGATGCCCTACAACAAGCTAAACTCTCATCCAAATCCTCACTAAGAAATTATCTTTCCAATCATCTAGACACCCAATCCCATCCTATCCCATCTCCATACTCAGACTGTTCATTCTCTTCTCAAGTCAGTCAGTCAGTCAGCCACAGAAGTACACAGCCATTTATCACTTGAGGCATTATTGGGACAGTTCACCTTCAATAAAGCCATGCTGGCTGCCTATTATCACCGATGATATTTTTAATTGTGGTGGACTGGATTATGCATCACACTGGATGTGGGGAGTGAGAAGACATGAATACGCTGGACCACCGATAAGAAGACTCTAGAACATCTGGATTTCACGCATCGATAACATATGTCGAATGTCACACACACTCGAAGACTTACAGGCAGACAGGTAGGCGAAAACCAACAAACTTCCCCAAGAGGTGAGACAGACAGCGAACACACGACTCCAGGTGAACATAGAGAAGATAGAATAGAGACGGAGGTGATGAAGATAACCAACCAACCAACCAACCGTCACAGCAACAACAAACAGCACTAATCACCATCAACGGGAGAGATTTGACTGAGGTTGTCTCCTTCCCTTACCTAGGCAGCCAGCGTCGTTTCCACTACAGCCATTCGGAACGGGTGAAGATGTCAAAGCAGGCCAGAATCAGAAAGGCAAGATACACCTTCATCAATCTGAAACCAGTTTGCAAATATTCTGCACTCACTCAGCAGCATAAACAACAACATTCGCATTCTATTCAACACAAATCTGAAGTCAGTCAGTCAGTCAGTCAATTCTTCTATATGGGTCAGAAACTTGCACTGCACGTGAGTAGTCACGAAAAGGATTTCCAACAGCCTGTTTCAGACTTTCATCAACAGCTGCCCACTTCGCTGGCTGGCTGACTCCATACTAAAGATCAAATGGCCAGGAAGAATTAGCAACAAGAAATTATGGCTGGGAACAAACCAACGAAGAGCCGCTCGCTCAACAAATATGTAGGAGAAATTGAGATGGATTGGGCATAAATGAGTTGAGGAGACAGTCAAATGAGGTCGCGCACAATGCAGGCCATTGCTCAAGTGGCACCCGAAAGGGAAGCGATGAGCGGATCGTCATTGTTAGGGTGACATGGAGGAGATCATGTGAGTAAGAGGAGCAGATGAGAGATTGTGGGTAATCATGGTCGAAGCAGAAGAGGACGCCAGAAGATAGGACAAAGTGGAGATGTGTTGTTTAAACCCTATATTCCACTCGGAACTCAAGGAACAATAATAATAATAATAATAATAATAATAGCAGATCTCTGATTAATATTGGCGGAGATTTCATCACAATAATCCGCATTACTTAACGAATCACTGGAAATCAAGGTTGATAATTTTCAGACTATATACCTATTGAAGTAAAAGATACAATGTGGTAGTTAGGAACTATTCGTCAGCTTACGGTCACTGTCTGAACAGAGAGGAGAGAGAGTACAGAATAGACTAGTGATGACTTGGCTGAAAATATTTACTACTCATATTAACAAATCAATCAATATAAACTATGAAAAACCTACCTGTAAAGTCAAACTGTCTTGAGCCATAGCCGATTGATAAATTTGCCTCAAGACTGAATAAGCACTTTTAAAAGTGCGATTGATGCCGGGAAATCTTAAATCTCCTGATGAGTTTCGAGCGATACGACCCCATAGGAGATTATCATCCGTGGAAGCAGGATTCATAATTTCTTCATCAATCCTGTTGGCAGCTGAAGAGGTTGCCAACTGTTTAAAATAAAGAGGAATATGAATTTTGAGATGTACATATATGATAAGATATTCAGTAGCTTTATAAAAACACAGAAAGGACTGTATAATACTTTCCTTAACCAGCTGGATATATCTGCTTATCAATAAGCGATGTTCTCACGAAGTCTAGAATCCACTGCTGAGTTGTGGATGATAACACTCCTGGATGCAAACCAATCTGCAAAGGCATTGGCGATCCAATGCACAGAGAGTCGCCACTGATCCTCAACTCGGAGGCTAAATTTTACAGGTGTAGGACAAGGCTGTGCGCACCGACGCATTGTAATCCCGACATGTGATGGTTACTAAAACAACCATCTAGAGATACATGAACTTATAGATTACTCTTAACAGTTCACTTGTAAGGGTGAATGCAGGTACAGGTTCCCCCCAGTGCTGTAACAATAATTCGCAAATACCACACTTTTAAGCATTCACCACCAATTGATTAAGTACGATTTGCGCAGCCTGCATGTTATTGCACAGTTAGACGATGTCGTTTGCAAACTCGAAGTTGACAAATCTTTTTTCGGTTAGCAGATCCATACAACCACCACCACCACGCACATCTTTCAGAGTCGACCGACTCCAGAATGTGACTGATGGCAAATTTAAAAAGAAATGAGGAGAGATCAGGTAACCGTGTTTCACTACACTAGTAGTTGAGACCACTGATGGAATAATAATCATTGGAAAACCAAATGTGAAATGATTCATAGGTCTGGGTGATTGGATCTCCACTAGCGAAGTGCATCTTCGAACTACGGTTGTTTTTTTTACTTAAATGGGACATCAAACAATCCCTTGGAATCAGTACACACACATGTACACGCTGGTGTGGCTCATTGTTAGGTGCATAAATCCACACTGGGTTGCTGCAATGCAACTTTTTTCAAGAATTAATAATCAGCAATAAAACTGGTAAAAGTGACCACTGTAGGATTTAATTTGCCTACAGATATTATACTAGTTCTCAAAGTCATGTACTAACGCGACACAAAGTAAGTTTGAACCTTACTGTAATTGTTACAACACAGGTAACCTGCCTTGAAACTTTATCGGTTACCAAAATACAAAGATACCTAGTTACATGATAGAAATATATGCAAACAACAGTTGTCTGTCATCAACAAAGACCCAAACATAACGAACATTATTAACGTGTAAAACAAGTGTTTGGTCTGTTACATTCACGTGTATATAAGACGATGAAAATAACAGCTTAAATGCAGAAGATATTTGTAAATTGAAATTACCATTCTGATAATCATTCTCGATACTTACTCTGTTTGGATCGCCTATAGATACGACTGGATTTCGCGTATTACTTCCTAAATGTTGGGAACAAGTGTTTACCATTGGTGGCTGTGAATTCAGTGATACACTGGTTGCTGGTTGGGTGCATCGTTTTGATAGTGGTGTGGGACGAGGAACAGATGAATGAACTGGGCGATGATTAAATGCATCATAAGTGCTAGGTCCAGAAGATTGCGTTGTTAGAGGAAGAGTGACACCAGATATAGAAGAACCAGAGAGTGTGTCATTACGAAATGGTAACGAATTAACACACTCACCACCTGTCACCATATGTAGGCGTGCGTCTGCGGAAGCTGTATTATGAATCATGTTACTTGATGAACACTGATCCTGACGTAAAATATAAAGTAAACAATGCAGATCAATGATGGTTTTGAAAGAACTTCAATCATGATATGAAACACACAATCCGAGCATCTAAATATATATATATATATATATATATATATATATACGAACTACTTTGGATACCTTAATTAGTCTTAAGAGAGCTAAGATGGATGGAAGTGATATGGGGAGTGGTATTCACTCCGTCCCTTTTTAAAATAACGCTGACTATTCTTGGCCATTATTACGTACTAGCTGACCTACGTGTGAATATATTTGTTGGCTTTTTTGCTCACTGTTTATTCTTTATCTGTAATTCAAGCATCTAGCTTGAAGTCCCTTGTCCCACTGGGAACGTAAAGGGATAAAAATTTAAATTAAATCAAAATACAAGTCCATACAATTTATTATTAAGCAATACTTTGATAAAAGTATGCAAGAAATAATGCTCAAACTTTGAACCTAATAATTGACGGGAAAACACTAGTTACTTGTAAAGAAAAGTCAGGGTTAAAACAACTCAAAGCACTTAATGTACACTGCAGACGAGGCATATTCTACCTACTGTTGTTAAAGTATTGCAATTGGGAAATATCGGTACACAAGGCATCAGGTAATTGATCACCGTTATGCCTGAAGTGTCACATTGATAACAACTACAAGTCATCAACTGAAATCATTAAATCACTACAGTTTAGATGACCACATCATACCTTGCATGGGCTCAATTAATACCTGCCACTAGGACTATGTTAACCAAGGAAGCTGGCTCTTAAAAAGATTTTATGGGAGGCAGCTGTTGCTATCTCTCAATCCTGTTCTAAATTATGTACGGAAAAGTAGGCGACACGGTAATCAGAGTCAAACCTACTTGCTGCATACTTCAGATTATTTTATTAGGAATACACTTACTGTGATACAGGTTATATTTATGTATTCTACGGTTTCATACCTTAGACTTACAATTTTGTTGCTTATATGTGAGTATACACCGTAAGAGATGATCACAAACTGACATTAATCAAAGAAACAACACCAGGAAGTACTGGACAGCTCTTTTGTCCTAATTTGAGACTCTTCAACAGCACACCCACTTACTACTACTCCATCAGGGATTGAACTCTGGGGCTTTAATTTGCGAAACGAGTCCATTCATCATTCGGCCACCGGGACAGAATCCTATGGATCATGAATTCCGCCAATTCGCGACGGAAAGCGCTACCACCCACCAGTCTTGTCAGCGAGCTTCGCCCCTGAATCCAACTCATTGGTCACGACATTTCACCAAAACACCAGGTAACTCTATCCTGTAACCAGTCAGTAGTGGGCTGTTCAGTAACCCCCTGGTACTCTAACTGGTGGTAGTCAGTCAAACTCTTGCAAAATAGAAGCAGATGGTTTGTTATGAATTATTGCACAAGTGAGTCAAGAGTTTAACCAATTATAATGAATCCAAATAAACGGATAAAAATGTATCCATTGTTTCCAGCATCAGTAACATTCAAATGACTTCCGGATAAACCCAAACTGGGTAAAAACTGGTATCATCTCAAGAACACTTTTGTGACACATTAAAAATGAAGTGATAATAAAGACACTATATAATTACTGATCTAACTCTTTATTAATGTCATAACATTACGAATTTTTTTTAGACAAAACGGCACTAAAAGACATGGAAAAGCACTTACATCATGGGGTGTACGTGGAGGAATTGTACTGGGTACGATGAGGGGAGTGGAATCATTGACACTGGTTACAGCAGGTAGAGAACTTCCTGTAACAAGTCCATTGGACTCGTTCACATGCCCACTAAGCGTCCTAGAAATCGGTTGCTGAGAGACTCTTGACCAAGTGTAGAAAGTATTCCCTGGGAGGGTTATATGTTCAGATGAAGTAAAGTAAGGTGGTGGACAGGTGACGCTTTGCGATCTTGTAAGTCGAGTTTGACTATTAGATTGAGTAGGCTCAGAAATTTCTGTAACCTACAAAAATAGTGCTTATGTACAACTGTGGATATTTCGTACACGGGATACACAAAAACTATGCGGAATTAATATAAAATATACCATAGTATCCACTCCAAAACGACTTGAGAACAAATTTTACCTTCGAGGTGAAGAATAATGGTGGAACTCATATTGAATAAATGAATAGCAAACCACACTAAAAGTCTGTTCAAGATTCTATAATCGATTCTCTATTCTTTAACTCTGGACTAACATCAGTATCAGTACTATCACATAACAAGGTTCCGTTTGGGTTTATGTTTATTTAATAAAGGAGTCTTCAGGGACTCACTGTTGTGGTGCTGAACAAGAACACTTCCGCAGATCGCTCAGTGACTAAACGTAGATATTAGCCTCCCAATGGATGTTCTACCTGATCCCTGATGACACAACCCATTTCCCTTGCTACGAAATGAATTGTAAACATACGTTCAACCAGATACCCAGGGTCATGATTGAGCTGAGATGCTTACAAATATGTATCACAACAGTAAACAAGTGACTGGATGTATTACTTTCAAGATTCACGTCTATAAAGGTCATATAAACATCACAAAATTAGCTTTCCTGCAAAAGTAAACCTACCATTCTTTGTCCCTAAAGACAATTCTAATACTACATGCTACTTATATGCAAACGACGAACTTAATCCCTACCGTCTTCCCTGAAACCACATTATTTATATGTAGTCAACTGTTTCGCTGAACTGTGCAATCAATAATAACTGTCTTAATACCACCACTGGAAAGCACACGTAGCAGGAAGTGACTGTGATGACACGAATAGGTGGCGTGAAAGAAGTGAAGGGCAGGGAAGTGTATAGCATTTCTGTATAATACTGAGATTATTCTACGATGTGAACATGGTGTAAACCATTTATACAAATATCAACCGATGCAGTTAAATCATAGCGGCTACCCCAACACATGACGTTCGACACCCAATTAGATGTGTTACAATCAAATCAAATTGTATCTTTTGTTCTAGGATTGCTTAAAGACTTTCATGAAGCTGAATTCTCACGTATTTACGTCATAGGATGCTAGAATTTCACAATACTACTACAATTATTCAGTAGTCCGCACGGATTACAAAACAGGCATTTGTTAGGGGAATTTTAGCAAGACCAGTGTAAATACAAGTCCTATTTTCGATACTTAATTCAAGCTGTACAAAATCAAAGAAATGGATTGGGTAACTAAAAGCATACTTAGTCTAAAACAGTACAGTATATATTCAAGAGTTAGTTTGTAAGGATTAAACTGGTATCAATCCGTCGTAAAACTCGTAAAAACAAATCTAATATTTACAAACCAACTCTTGAAAATTAATCTGATGCTCGCTAGTGAATTGTCTCAGGACGGAGTTTCCTAGAGTGAGAAGTCATGACCAGTGGGGTTCAACCATTCAAGTGTGAGGATGGATTTCCCACCGATGGCATTGGTTGGTGGTCGCGCTAAATCATAAATTGGTAGAATTTAGAATTTATGCACTGGCCGTTGAATCGAGTCCCAATGGCTGAGTGGTATACGAGCTTGTCTTGTAACCGGAAGGTTCAAACCCTGGCAGTGGGTGCGTACTGCCGATGATTCCCAGAGTAGGATGAAGCAGCTGTCCAGTACTCGCGGCTAGTTTACAATGATTCTCTAACTGATATCAATCCGTGGTCAAACTCGTAAAAGCATAATGCATACCAAAAACTTACTGGAACGGATAAGCTTTGCGAGGGGGAGCCTTCCGAAGTTGGCTCCTGTTTTATGTTTGTCAATAAGAGGTTCCCTCGTCTCTCTGGTAAGAAGAGCTTCGTAATCACCACGTCCCGCAACATTTTGCATCAAACCACAGGGGTAGAACGCAAGCTACTAAATTGCGCGTGCCAGGTATGTTGCATTCACAGGACTAAACAAAACCTATCACGAAATCCTAACTTTCAATATCCAATATCATTTTTACAAGCTAGTGTAAACTAAATTGATTTCTCTGTGCTCGCTGTCAGGGAGTGAGTGCCCTTCAGCACAGAAGAGCACCTATCGCATTCTAGACGCCCATACTGCCTCTGCGACACCGGATTAGCCCTCTAGTGACGGTAATAGAAAGACTGGTAAAAAGAAGAGGAGTACTAGGGGTCAGAAACCTTCAGCTAGAGTCTCCCAGAAACTTGTGGATCAAGCTTCAACCACACCGGTGGACAGCAGACAGACGCGATCGAATACGGTCAGCGAGAGGGATGCCAATGAATGGCGTAATGTAGTTTCCAGCAATAAGCGAGAATAGGACACCATAACAACCACACTGTCCACGAGGGACGGAAAGAAACCTGCGCTGCAGAGGAAGAAAGACACGGCAAGCAAACCTGATCTATCTGATAGGTCTCTCATTCTCCACAAAGTGGAGATCAGGTTCGAGCATAACCTTAGCTTGATCAAGCCCCTTTTAGATAAGTTACTGCCAACAACAGTATCAGGCATAACCATACACATTATATGGAATTGACCGAAAGCCTGGATCGACAGTGAATCAGCCAGCACGCCTTCTCAAAGTCGTACTCAACTCCAAAGAAGAGAGGGATGCCATTCTAAGAAACTCCCAAACTCTTAAAGGATCAGGCAACATGTTCGTGCAGACTTATACCTAGCGCATCGGGACAAAAGGCAGTCTAAGGCCCTAGAATTAAGTGAACGACGCTGAAACAGTGAAAACATTAAGATTAAAGGCTTTCGAGTTGTCAAACTTCGAAGTTTGATGATCCCGAAACCCCTGCGGGTAGGCCGCTGGAGCACCAAACTGAATTGACAGTTTGCTACGCAGACCCCCGCAGGCTGTTGAACAAATGGACTTAACTGAGTAATATGATTGACTCCGGAAATCCGGATGTAACTACCATCACACAGGCATTGCTCACACCCGATATCACTGATGACGGAGTTAACCTGCCAAACTTCAAAGCGCATAGGGTGGACCGACTAAGCAACAAAGGAGGTGGCGTAGTCATCTACCTCAAGAAATGCTTAAGCGTGTGTGGCATCGAAGCACTCCTTCACGGAAGTGAATCGTGCGAACTTCTACGCTGCAGAATTAAACGCGTTGGCTAAGATATTGATCTCACTGCTATATACCGCAGTCCTGACTGCAGTGCAGATGACTTCTTAATAGAGATGCTAGGCTCCTGGACATCGAAATGTCGGAGTCTCGTAGTCGGCGACTTCAATGCCCCAACAGTTGACTGCACAAGCTTAATAACACCATCTTCAGACAACAACTCTGATCATAAACTGCTGGAATGTAGCATTTCGCTAGCCTTAGTCTAACATGTCATTAGGCCCACACAGGTAAATCAATGGGTCCTGATGGTATTCATACAAGGCTTCTCAAGGTGCTATCAGCTCACGTAGCCTCCCCACTGACCACGATCTTCAAGCAATAGTAACCCCCATACACAAAGGAGGATCGATTCAAAGCCCTTCAAACTACAGGCCTATAAGTCTCACCAGCAATTTAATCAAGGCACTGGAAAGGATCATCAAGAAAAGTATCATGGCATATCTGGAAAACAACAATTTCCTATCTGCAGTACAGCGTGGCTTCCGAGGAAATCTCTCACACCTGTCAAATCTTCTCACCGCAAGAGAAAGCCGGGTCAAATCAGGGGACAACAGAAGACCCATCGAAGTCGTCTTCACAGACTTCAGTGAACCCTTCGATAAATTGCCTCACAAAGGACTACTCAGGAAGTTGGGAGGTCTTGGCGTCAAAGGCAACTTACTAATCTGCATTAAGGAATTCTTCATAGATAGGAAGCAGAGGGTCACAATCAACTCAAAACTCTTATTCTGAACAGCAGTGCTTAGCGGAGTGCCACAGGGCACTGTACTCGAACCTCTCCCATTTGTTTTGCATGTAGATGAGTTATCTTTGCTAACCAATTCTCCTATGGTCCTACATAAAGATGACCTAAAAATCTACAGAGAGCTGAAGGGCGACAGTGATACGCCCACGTTGCAAGAGGACCTCGACAAGTAGTCAGAGTGGTCCAGAGAATGGATGCTCCCTATCAATGTAGCAAAATGCGCAACCATGCGCATTGGACACGCAAGGATCAGTTCCCGCGAACTAGATGGAATAACACTCCCATCATTTCGAACTCATTTGGATTTAGGTGTCGTAGTAAGTCAAGTCTTAAAAACTACAGCACGCTATTGCACGTTGGCTACACGTAGTTTCAGATCCTTACAAGCGATTCACACAGCCTTTACTAGAATCACCAAAGATATGTTCACCTCCTGGTATACATTTCTGGTGAGGTCAAGACCGGAAAACTTTATCCAGACAGCCAGTCCTTGTCTAAAGGTGACTCACATATTATAGAAAGGATTCAAAGGAAGGCAACATGTATTATTCTCGACATGGCTAACTTATCATATGAGGAAAGACTAGACAGTTTGAATCTCTTCTTCCTATCATACCGTGGGCAGAGAGGAGACTTAATTACAATGTTTGAAATTTTAAATAATGACTACGGGCCTGACCTATTCTTTCTTTTCCTTCCTACCAGGTCCGAACACCTTAGAGGGCATAGCAGGGAATTCAAAAGCCAAGAAGAAATCATATTGCTGATTAGTACTGGTCCTCGCACGGAGTCATAAACTCTTGGAACCAACTCCTAGAGGAAGTTGTGTCTGCAACGTCAGTTGATTTATTCAGGAAGCTTTCGGACAACCACAGAAATTTACTAGAAAATGATTAGCAGAGACTACAAGCCTCCTATCCTCAACCAATAAATCTGAATCTGAAATCTGTTCGTCCTGCCACTCGACTGTCGTGGCTTTGGCTGACTCCAAGGGCAGTATGCTGCGTGTTGAAACCGTTTCGCCACTGTGAGTGGAATTGATCCTTCCACCCGTCAGTCATCTGGTGGGGTCAGAGGGAGAGATAGTAATGATAAGTGTGATTAGTGTAGATTGTGTGGACTCGGAAAATAGAAAACGTACAATCAAACAGATAATGAAATTGGAAATCAGTATGTATGTATATTAAAATGAGTGAATAAATAGACAGATGAGTTAGAACAGTAAGACAAGAGAGAATGGACTGTAGTAAAATAAAAAATTAAGAATATACACACTAACGGTGTGTGAATTTTAAGGGATAGACCGTTTAGACTCAGTCTTTGTATCGTCACATGATCTTCCAGCCTCCGCTTACAGCTTTTCATGGATGATGCAGTTTCTATGGGTTCTGGTAAAGGGTTCCATATGCGGCAAACGCGGAGTGAGAAGAAATGTGAACCTAGTCAAATCCTTGCCTTCTGATGGGCCAACCTTAGTGGAAGCCCATAAGTACATAACGGTAAAATACCTTTGTTTGGGTGATTCTGGTCATCTGCAATCTTATAGGCAGTAACTAAGTCACCTCTAAGTTGAAGTTGTCTTGGTGTGAAAAGACATAGTTTCTTCAGCCGTTAGAATAGTTCACCTAGGAGACCTACCAGCTCTCTGTTAACCCTCTTTAAACCCATTCCAAAAGACTTGACTCCCTTCTGGGTAACGAAGGGGCAGTGATATTTGACACTTCAAGGTGTGGTCTTACACGCGTTCTATACAACCTTGGAAAACTTAGGACTGACTTATAATAATCAGAAACATCAGTGGCCTTAGGATAGGCCCTGTAATGTCTTCGATGCTAAACTGTGCCCAGATGGGCGGACACGATTGGGCTAGGCACAGAATTCTCTTTGGTGTAGATAATCCTCCAACCATGAGAGAAGTGGGCGACTAACACCCTCCTGACTTATTTTACGTGGGAGGATGTCATGCCAAACTGTGTCAAGTGCCTCCGTGAATTTGAGGGAGACCACACAAATTGTAACATTCATTTCACGGCAAGATATCTAGTCACTCCAGCCAGGTAACAGATTTGTCACACAGGATCTACCTCTTCTGAAACTGTGTTTTGCCTCATGGTGTATGTCTACCCTGTAGAGGCGCTGCCAGACGTAATCACCTCTCAGGGCTTCCAGTGCTTTTGAAACCACTGAGAGTATCGCAGCTATTGGCGATGGTAGTGTACCCACAGCCTGCAGAAACTGCATTCATACGCTGACTCGATGTTACAAATAATAGAACCACAGACCTGTCAGTCATCGCGTGGTACTGCGTCCACTTGGTGACGTAGACATTTTATCAGACCAAAGGATAAGTGCTTGGGGTCTAAGCGTGCTAATCTCGGCAGGTTACACACTCCCCTATCTTAAACCCTGATCACCACCACGAATGGTGTATTATTGTTCCTTTCAGGACTACATTCGGCTGCTACATGACCAGCTATCATTAATAATTGGGTAACGATAAGAAATAGGAACAGAGTGCTTGCCCGGTAGAATAAAAACAAAGACTGACATAGGACAAGAAAAAGGTTTTCGACTTTACCTGGGGATTTTAGATTATTCATCCCCACAGCGGTTACGTAGACTACCAACAAGTGTTGTTTGTCCGATTGAGTGACGAAGATGCTGTTGCAAAGGTAGTATCTGAAGCTTTGGCAGCAGTTCTAGACAACCGATTCGCTACACAAAGATTCGATTAGATTCACCAGCTACAAATACCAGGTTCCTCAAACGTACAACTCACAAACTGTGTATTTTCGGGTTACATGGGAAATGGTGCACCATCTTCAAAGAACCTTTGCAGTTCCTAATGAAATTTAAATGACTGGTCGAAGACTGTAGTGTGACTTCTTCATTAGGTCGTGAGTTAAACAGTTTAGTCTCATGGCGCTACGCACACGGAAAAAATTGGTCCACTTTAATGCATACTATCAAATAACCTGAAGTGACGAAATTACGTGTATGATTGGTTGGAAAGCCTGTGTTGTGAGCTTTTGGAGATGTTGGTA